TTTCTTACATTTATGAATATTCTTGATAAAGCGTTACTGTGAAACGCTTTCATTTTATAAAATATTAAATTATATAAACTTATAAATGTGTGTATTAATTTATATAATTTTATTGTATATATAATATATACTTTACATATATAATTAAAACTTTCAGAAACATGCTAAACGTATAAGTTAAAAAAAAAAAAATTCTGCTGAATAGTTCAAAAGTATAATACAGAACGTTGTCAATAAAATCTAATTGTTAGTCCTTGCCAAAGGAGAATATGTTTAATTTTATTTTTAATTTGATTTTTATTCAAGCATGCATTAGCGATTGCATCGTGTAATTATACGAAAGACACTACGTGCCGCTGGATATGTAATGATATGAATTTTTCCATGGAATTGTCTTTTTATCCAGACCAACAAAGAGCAATTATCTCACCAGATACTGCATGCTTATTAAATGTCAATGAGACGTCGTTGAGCCAAAAGAATGTAACAAATAATTATTGCAACGTTACTTGTAATAATTTCGAAGATCAGTGCGTATATACATCTAACACCTTTTGGAGTTTTGTCCTCATGTGGTCTCTTGCCGAGACTAGTTTTATTACTTGCTTGAGCATAAGCGATGCAGTTTGTTTTCGTATACTAGGTACGTAACTTTATAAACAAAAATTTTTGAGTTAATTGCCGAAATATAAAGTTTTAGCCATATAAAATAAATAATTATAATAAATAGTTTTATAGTTTCTTATACATATAATAATATATTAATTAAATTTATATAATAATATTATGCAAAGAGAGAATTACTACTTCTAAAATAAAGTTTGTCTTCCCAGGACAAGGTAAACAGTCAAAATTTGGCAAACAGCGATTATGGGCCGCAATAGGTTGCGGTGTTGCAGCATGTTTATCCGGATATGTGGTGGACTTATGGTCGCACGACGGAATTTATCAAAATTACACCCCAATGCTTATTGTGGCGTTCGTATTTATTTGTGTCAATTTGATTTGCTGTATAAAATTGGAGGTGAGATTGCGTTTTATGCATTACAAATTTAAAAATAAACTAAACGAATAAACGTAGTTTTGTTTTTATGTCCTTAGGTTACCATAAATTTTTGTTACAGATACCACTTGAAAAAGGATCGACAACCATATTGAAGGATGTGTTTGTACTTTTAAAATCTAAATCTATTGTTATAATTTTGTGTTTTGTTGCATTTGCCGGTATCGTTCATACCGTCAAACGTAACTATTTATTTTGGTAAACTTTTATCTCTATCGGAGCGGCAATATATGTGCATTAGTTTATCTGTCATTTTATAAAAGGAATTGAAATAGAATTCGTTATCAATATAACTTGACTTATAGGTATTTAGAAGACCTCGCTATTGCGACTGGTTATATGAACAGAATTAAATTGATAGAAGGATTAATCTTAATAGCGCAGACATTCGGAGAAATAGTAAATCTCTTTTTTTCTGGTATATTAGTAACTTTTTATAACAATTCGTAACTAAATAACTAAAAATATAACTAAAATCATTTTTTCTAAGAAGATATTATAGTGCATTATTTTGTTTAGGCAAAATAATAAAGAAGCTTGGATATAGTTACACTATTATATTTTGCTTTATATGCCACGCGATTCGATGGGGATTAATATCTCTCGCTCCAATGCCATGATGGTGGATAATTCCAATAGAATTAATCATGCACGGGTCATCGTATGCACTTTGCATAGCAGCAATATCGGCCTATGCAAACGTAGTAACACCTCCCGGTACGTCAGTTAGTGTTCAAGGACTTGTTCAAGGCATGCATGATAGTTTTGGTAAGATTACTTACACAGATGCACTTATCGATGAGTATTTTGTCACAAAAATTACATAGAAATATATATGATATATATATTTTTTGCAATTAATAGACGTTATTACTAATGAA